CTCTTCTCTCTCTTCTCTCTCTTCTCTCTCTTCTCTCTCTTCTCTCTCTGTCTCTTCTCCCCGTCTCGCTTCTTCCAATTTCTCTCTTTTCGGAAGAGTGGGGTTGGTGCCGACAATCGAATGTCAAAAACGGCGGCACATTTGCGACGTTGTTGAAGCGCCAGTTGCAGCCCTTTCACGCGAAACTTGCAGCAGTGATTGGCTCTTTCGTCTTGGCTCTCCTTTTTTTCTTGCTCCCCGTTCCTGTAGCTGCCTTTGGCCCAGGTTCCTCACTCTCTGGTTTGCAAAGGTGATTAACCCGGCGCTTCTGGGCGATTGACTGGGGTGACTGACTCGGGTGACTGACTCTGTCTTTGGCCTTTTTGTGATTGGGACTCTATCTTGGTTGATGGTAAAGGACCAGTCATCCAGCAATCAAACACACAAAAAATCACCGTGGCCGGAGATGAGGCTGTGAAAGGGCCGGGGAAATGATGTCTGGGTTGGAAAGTATTGCTGGCAGTGCTGTTGCGGGAAGCAAGGTCAGAGTAAGTTCCTGTTTGCGTCATGCTTGACTCGTGCACGTGGCGGAATTGATTTGTAGAGCATGTATGGCATTCTTGGTGAAAAAAATGCGTTGCAACCCTGCGTATTTGCGCCGCGGTTTTGTGAGTTAGCAAACAAATGTTTTGCAGGGTGATCAGCTCGCAAAGGTGCATGGAACATGATGGAATTGTTCTTTTTATCCATTATTGACATCGATTCTCGGTGTGGAAAATTTTTGGTATGAATCCGACCCTTTTTGGCTCAAACCCGAAGAACCAATAGATGGGGTGCATCCAGGGTTCAAAGTAAAATCATGCTTCCTGGAGGCTTGCGATGTCTGTGGTTATTTTTGTGGAGTGAAATGGTGTGGGTTTGCCAGTTGCCATTTTTTTCGTCGATGCAGGAGGAGGAATGGCCCCAAGGCCAGGCATGCCAGGCACAAACCGTCCGTTGCCAAATTTGGGAAATTGTTGGTTCCTGGAAGCTGATGTTTTGTGTTTCAGTTTTGTCCAAAAGATATTTTTGTTAAACCAGTGGGCGTTGCTTGGAGCACAGTCATGGAAACTCAATGGATGTCATAGTTTCCATGTTATCGCGCAGGGACAGGTATGCCTCCGAGCATGCCTGGGATGATGCCAACAGCGCCCATGGGCATGCGCCCGATGATGCCTGGCATGATGCCTGGAATGATGCCAGGAATGATGATGCCGGGGATGATGCCAGGAATGATGATGCCTGGCATGATGATGCCAGGCATGATGGCTGCGTCGCGGCCTCGTTTGAAAGTGCCATGATTATTTGAATGAGAATGGGTGACTTCAAAAGGTGGTCAGACAGGTTGCTTTGCTGTTGTGTATGATTGTGATTCTTGTAAAATGTCTAACTTTATGGTGCCTAGCCGTTTCCCAGGGCAGCTTCAAAACCAAAGCCCACAGAAGAGAAAAAGGTCCTTGACAAGAAGGTGCCCTTGAGATACGTGGTCTTGGGTTATAATGATTCAATGACTCGAAGGTTTGTTTTTGCCTTTGCCTGCTGTGCTTTCCGCAATCCTATGTCGAACTTGACCCATGTGTGCCACAGGATTTTCTGAACTTGAAATTTGGCGTCGCGATCTCAATTTGATGCGTTTTGCCTCCAGTTAGTGAGTATGATGCAATGTTCTTGTGACTTGCAGGCTTACAGGTGCTTGTTTACAACCTTTTCAATTGAACCCGTTTCCATTTAAACAGCGGACACTTCTTCTCCTTACTTCGAGCGTGAGTGGCTGAGGAGAGAGAACCTCCAATAGACCCTGATGTGAAGGTGCATCGTTTGCAGAGTGCAGTTGTGATCTTCACATCGGCTAGCAAGTAGGGAAAACTTCCCCAAAAGGTCATCAACAATCTGCCGCCTTCTCATGATCAATGATCATCAAGTGGCTGCGAGACTGGGACCAGGCCTTTTTCGAAAAGCACAAGATCAGCGACAAGTCCTTGTTAAAGCGCCTCAACGAGGACGTTTTTCAGTGGTCTTTTTGGGTCGTCTGGGTGGAATTCTTGGGTAGAAGATGGACTCTTCCGGCCAGTTGAATATTCTGATGGCATGCTAAGTATTATACTGTCCTGACCTTGGGCCTTGGGGCAAAACAAAGTAAGATGCCTCTTAAAGTGCCAGCTGTACAACCAGGAGATTATGAAGAAACGGGACACCAAGGAGAGTGTTCTGTCAAAGCTGGACGAGTTGTGAGGGCCTCAGGAAAGCTAGCCGAATTGTCACTGGGACCGTGCTGGGACCATGCTGCCATCCGTACGTGGATATCCTGCAGTTTTCCTTCGCTATCGCCGGAAATGTGCATCGCAAGAAGTCTAGCCAACAGTACCACCCAACACAGAAGAGGTGACCCTTTAGATTCCATTTCAAGGATTTTCAAAGGTTGAGATGGTTGAAACATATCCAATGCGAACCTCTAGCTGTTTCACTGGTGGCGAGGTTAGAAGACATGGGCGATCCGCAGGGTTACTTGGAGATGAAGGTGGAGGCAGGGTCCTGCAAGGGTTTCGATACATGATTCATCCTGGAGTCCTGGAGATGTTTTTCCTGTGAAGACAAAGGAGGAAACACTACATAGGAACTTCCCAATTTTAAGCCGCTGGCTTCCTTTTCTCCGTTGGTAAGGTCAATCAATGGATCAGTTGTGGCAACCAAATGAATCCGGAGACCGTGAACCGGTCAACCTGCAGACCCTTGAACCCTCAACACTGATCCCTGGTTTCCTTCCTCATGGTTTTCCAACGTTGTTTTTTTTAATCTTAAAGGAGGTGCCCATGCTCTTGCAAGAATCTTAGGCGAGTTCGTGTTCTCCAAATTTAGAATTCCATAGTGAATCGTGGCCGCTGCCACACTTGAACAATGCTGTGGAAGTGTGTTTCCGTGCCCTGGACAGGAGATCGAAAACGGTGAATTCAGAGGAAAGACCTTGGAGGTACCTGAGGCAATCCCACTGGCCTGAGCCACAACAGCTGGTGGGTCATGGGTCACACTGGTATGCTGACCGCTTCTCTCCTGGTTTGAGACGGTATGGAGTCTGGAGGACCTGGGTGTTCGTGTGCATCTATGGCGGTTGTCGCGGCCATGGGCTCAAGCGATCGGTTGACAAGAAACTTGTTTGAGTGGATGAGCCAACAAAGATGGGAACATCGGAGCATCCAGAAAATTAAATACTTGTAGTATATCATATGCCAGCCGTCCTAAGATAGCGTCAATCAAACCAACCTCTGTTTGCGGAACGGGCTTTCAACATTTTCAAGAGAAAAGTGCTGGAGCTCAAGAGGATGAGAGGCGCCTGGGAGTGGCTGGGCTGGACTGGGGTATGGTCAGTGGGGTCAAATTTAAGGACCATAGGACTCAGTACAGTGTGGCCAGGAGTACTACATCGACTACATGAGATTCAGCGTGCACAAATTTTGAGATATGCATAATATTGTAATTTATTGGTAAATGGTGATCTGACCATGTATTTAGGGGTTGGGCTTTGGCCCAAGTCAGGGGTGCCATGCTGTGACCGTGACTAGCCTTGTGCTGATGGTCAACTGGTGGCGGTGTGTTGGTTGCACGCGCTCACTTTTTGAGACGTGTTCCAATCCAATCTGCTCCTGTTATCACGACGTACTTTGTGGAAAAGATTATTCTGAAAGCTTGCCAGATGAGAATGAACTTGGGAGCCGAGAGGATCTCTTGTATGCATTGGGTGCATGCGCTCGCTTATGCTATGGCACCGGATTGTATGATAGCGATGGCTCTGACTGGGGACACTTGGATCCTCCCCTGGAAGGTGAGGGTTGGATTGTGATAGATCAGATTTGCGAAACGATGAACTCTGATGAAACGGTTCAGGCTGGTCTTTACGTCCCAGAAGGCCGCAATCTTCCCATTGCCATCGTGGCTTTTCGGGGCACCTGCACCCGCAAGGGAATCTTTCAGGATTTAGGCATTGGGCTGCCAATGTACAGGAGGCACTTGAAACATGCCATCATGGAAGCATGTAGTTATTTGGCTAAGTGTCGTGCCAGGCTGCCCAACCACCACATCTACGTCACTGGACATTCCTTGGGAGGTTTGATTGCGGAAGCCACCGCCTCGTACATGGCTGCAGATGGAGCAGTGTTCAATTCTCCGGGGCCCGTAAAAGCGGCTGGATGGTGCAAAAAGCTGGTGGGCAAAAACAGACCATCGTGTTTTGAGGTCCACCTGGCCCGCGATGACCCTTTGGCGGTGAGCTTTTTTCCAAAACCAGATACACATCGGCATATTTGCAAGGTGGAGTGGCATCCTGGTCACGATCACAAGCTCTGTGAACCCTATGTGAGGCACATCTCCAAGCTCAAATACAGAGCTAATCGATTGCGTATTCCAACAGGCTGGCAGATTGTGAACCAAGTGGCGGATCTAGAGTCCTTGTACCCACCTCCCGAGGAGATTCGTTGGCCATCCTTGGCTGTGCAAATGGGGAAACCTTTTCTGGGTCCTTGAAGGGGCAATCATGGACTTCTTCACTCATGGAATCATGGCCAAATGATCCCGGTTGCGGTTTCCAGGGGAACGTGGGCATGCCACGGTCTACCGTCTACACAGAAACTGGGCATTTTGATTGCTGGCATTTGATCCACTTAAAGTTCAGCCCCACTTATAGGTTGAAACATTTGGAAACATTTGGAAACCTGATTCACAACTGACAACGGGCCCCACTTACGGTACCTGGTCACCTGTGGTCACCTGTGGCAGGAGTTTTCAGAGACCGAGAGTGAAGACAGCGAAGTGGAACGCTGCTGCCAGACAAGGCGGCAGCTCCAACGTGGCAGCGACTGAGCTCCTTTTTGTGAGCCATGGTGATGTTTGAAAAATCGGAAGGGCATCTGCGAAGCGTGGCTCCAGGATGCATACAGAATCACAGAGATTCGAATTGCGAAACAGGATAGAACATGATAGAACATGATAGAACCAAAAACCCTTGTTTGCATTCCTTTTCCATGCTTTTCCCCCCAATCTTGCATCAAGAAAAGAAATCCAAAGATGGCCGCATCGGCAGAGTCAGCCTTCCGAACCTCCCACCCCAAGGTTTCACAGAGTTTCACCCTATAGCGATCAGCCAGCAGTTAAAAGTGCCTGCACTCTAAGACTGCCACAGGTCCCTAAGCCTCACACATAGCGATGCAGAAATGATTAGGAATGATTAGGTTCATAAGGTGTTTGACCCGTCTCTTTAACAGCAGTGACTCTAACACCTGTAGGAAAATGGGCTTCAGAGTTGTGAGGGAAGTTTCAAACCATGAAGCAAGCGTAAGCAAGCAAGCCTATCAAATACAATCTCTACAATATCAACCCGTTTTTTTGTTCCTACTATATAGTAGAGGTGTTCATTTCTGAGCAGCTTTTCCAAGAGGCGTGCTGCAAATCTGCAACTGACTCTCTTGGTGGATGACGTTCACCTACATACTAACGTGGTAAATGGGCAAGCGCAATGATACGCCAATACGCCTCCAACTTAGGATATACAGTATATTCACGATGAAAGTTGGAGGTGGTTTCTTGCCAAAGGGTTAACAATAGGTGACGGTCTGGATTGGATCCTTCGTCCAAAAAACATTGGCCCGTTTGTGACCTTCCAGGTGGCGACAATGCAGCAGCTGGGTTGCAAGTGGACTTGGCTTTGCTACTTGGGCAACCGCTTTCAAAACCACTGGACGTATTGCAATGGGTGCGCCAACCACCTTTGGAATGGTGTCCTTGTTGTCAAGACAACATAAGAAAACTAATGGAAGTTGGGACATATTTGGGACACATCCCAGGGTTTTGGCAGCAATTTTGCCGAATAGACATCCAGCGGGGGGTCATATTCAACAACATGGCAAGTCATCAATGACTCCCGAAAGTGTAATCTTCTCCGGAGCGGCTTTCCAATGAATTATTGAATTTGCACCCGTATGACATTTATCGGAATGGTTCAAAGCTATATACCTGAAAATTGGGTTGTCCAATTCCAAAGGAGGATCATTATTTCCTCAAAATGACGGGTAGGCCCCAATGGTTGAAGGTATGGGTCAAAATCCATGATACATTTGCCAGCTGTGATTCGCCAGCTACCCTGGTTTTGATCCATAGCCATATTCTCTGAAAGTTTCTCATTAATTATTTGGAAAAACCTCCATCATATTGTTGATTATATCCCATCATATTCCCATCGTATTCCCATGATATCCTACTTAAATCCCCGCTATATCTACCATAAATAGGGAACCAACCCAGATGCAAGTTGATTCATCAGCCAACCTGTCCACCTGTGAACTTGTCAGGTCGCAGATGAAAGCCTGAAAGCTGCAGTGGCAGGGTGCGCTATCCTTAGATTTGTCCTGGGACGATCCCCAAAGCTGATGAATGGTTTGTGGCTTGTTTTTTGTACCGCACATTTATACGCATGTCATGTTTTGCGAATATCAAATTACTATAATTAATTAATATACAGATTACATACACGCACGCCACACACACATACATATATATATATATATGTAAGCATACATTATCACAATTCAATTGTATCCGCATGAATATGTGGATACATCAACAATATATTAACAATGTATCAATAATATGTCGATAAGATGTCAATAATATATCAATGTATCAATAATATATTGATCATATATTCAATAACATATCAATAATATATCAATGTACCAATGTATCAATATACCAACATATCAACACATCAATGTAGGTCATATAATGTAATGTAATGTAATGCAATGCAATGCAATGTAACACACACACGCGCACACACACACACATACACACATTATTTATTTTTATATATATATATACATATACACAATAACTCTGGGCAAAGCGTTGGAAGCCCCAGCAAAAATACACAATAACAGGATGAAACCTGTACCATTCAGTGTCAAAGCACGACTAGAATGAGCTTTGAACAGTGGCTACTTGAAGCAGCTTGCACAAACGTGCGTTCCATTGTATTCTTGGCCCACAGGCCCGCAGACTCTGACGCTTATTTTTTTTTCGGCGCGCCCGGAACCCATGTCGTTGTGGAGTACCATTGGTTGTACACGTTCAGTGTTCGAGACCTGTTCCAACCCCACCTGCTTCCTCTATAAAGGAGAATGGTGCGGTGGTGGAACCAGTGAAGGCTTGCCAGATGAGAATGAACTTGGGACCCGAGAGGATCTGTTGTATGCGTTGGGTGCATGTGCTCGCTTGTGCTATGGCACTGGGCTTTTCGACACAGAAGGCTCTGACTGGGGACAATTGGATCCTCCCCTGGAAGGTGAGGGTTGGATTGTGATAGATCAGATTTGCGAAACGATGAACTCTGATGAAACGGTTCAGGCTGGTCTTTACGTCCCAGAAGGCCGCAATCTTCCCATTGCCATCGTGGCTTTTCGGGGCACCTGCACCTTGAAGGGTGTGAGGCAGGATCTCTCTGTGGGATCCCCATTCCGAAGGAAGGCAAAACTTGCGACAAGAGAAGCGTGCAGCTATCTCGCCAAGTGTCGTGCCAGGCTTCCCAACCACCACATCTACGTCACCGGACATTCCTTGGGAGGTTTGATTGCGGAAGTCACAGCCTCGTTCATGAATGCAGATGGTGCAGCCTTCAATTCCCCCGGACCCTTGAGCTTACAGCCATGGCGGTGGCTAGTGGGCTCCCATAGGCCCGACTTTGAGGTCCACTTGACCCGTGACGATCCACTGGCCTTCAGCCTCTTCCCGAAGCCTGAATCCGAGAGACATATCGCAGCAGTGGAATGGCATCCCGGTCACGATCATAAGATTTGTGACCCATTTGTGCGACATATTACCAAGATGAAGTACAGACCCAACGGGTTGCCTGTCCCCACTGACCAGCAGATTGTGAACCAGGCCGAAGATTTGGAGTCCTTGTACCCACCTCCGGAGGAGCTGGGGATGGAACTGTGGTTGCAGGGAATACCCCCGGAAGGGATGAAAGTGGTGTTTTCAGGTCTAAGTCTAAGTCATGTAGCCATACCCGATCTCAAGCAGATGTCTAGCTTGCAAAGCCAGTGAGTGCCAGGGGTGATGCTTCTGATTCTCAGTGGCGCGTGAAACAGACACACACACACAGACACGCTTTTTCCATACACCAACGGCCAGGAGATTTCCGAAGTTGAGAGCGAAGACAGCTCAGATGATGATTGCTGCAAATCGTGCACTTGAAGCCTTGGGACCCCGGCGTCCCAAAGTCGTTTCATACCACAACAGCAACGCCAGCATCCAGTGGCTTTGTTCCCAGGCTCGTTCGGGCGGGCTCATCCAACTAGATCTGAGGATCCGCTGGACCGTTTGAACATCCAGCGCCAGTGTAGGGTTGTCTTCTTGCAAGGTCATGGGACGCATCCCCAGCATGAAGAGACAGAATCTTTTTGGAGTGTATACTGCACACACACACACATATATACACACACGCATAAATACATGTTATACACACATGGATCTATATCTATATCTCTATCTCTATTTATCTATCCATCTATCTGAGCAAGAACCAGGAGGATAATTTGTGAAGTGGTAGAGACAACCCCCTTCCAATTCTCACCATGCACAGCCCGCAAAGTGGGAAGCAGCATGGAGTGAAAATGCCAGTTGCGCCTCTGCAAAGACAAGTCAAGCGGACCAGCTGAGGAAGAATGGAGATCTGTTCAAAACATGGGACACCCCAAAAGCAACTACGAGGAGAGACCATTTGTGGATGACAGATGTTACAGTTAGACCTGTTTGAGCTGTCAGCCTCCCCTCCTTGCTGAGGTTCTGTGATCTTGGGCACCCTGAGTATGCTTGGATTTTGCATGGTTTCACGTTGACGCATGTTTAGCTGGTTGAAAAATGTGCTCCTGGATCTTATTGTCCAAAAGAAAGCCACTTGAAACGCCAGTTGCGGTGCTGCCTTCTCTTGGCTGACCCTTGCTTTTAAATGTTTCATGACTTTTCTCTTCCCACTTTGCATGCTTGGGACCCCAAGAGACTTTCTGGAATGAGTGGTTGAATAGTTCATTTCTTATGCCGTGGAAATATTCAACTGGGAGGTTGAAGCGCTGGCCATGGAGTGGAATCTGACGCATGTCCGCTGCTCAGCCTCAGCTGCTCAGTCTTCCCCTTTATGCCAAATCCTGCTGAGGAAGCCAAGGGCAGGCTGAATGAGGCACGGAAAATTGGGACATGGGAAGACCCTTTATCTGACTTGTGCTGAAGCAGCCGTTTGCAGCTTGGCCAGGCCATCTATGCCTTTAGTTGTTTTTTCAGATGGCCACTCTCCCAGAGAGGAATTAGTGTTCCATACCTTCCCATCCATCCCATCCATCCCAGCCCCTCACGTGCGGTGGCCAGATGGTGTCGAATAGAGGCACCAAGAAAGGCACAGACCTCAGGGTCTCTGCGGCGACAAGCCTTGTTACTCCAACCAAATCTCATTGCAACGAGAACTTCATCTCTACAAGTATTGAAAATTATAGATTCTCACGGCCATGCTGGTTACATTGCTAGGCGTCTACTAGCTGTTTACCAGCTGGTTAGGACAAAACATGATGAACTGCATATTTGCTGTGCCATAGGTCTTGTATGCTTTTGCCCAGGTCAGGATGTCGTGAGACTGGAAAAAATCCTAGAGCACACCCAGAACAAGTCTGAAACAGCCCTGAGCTCAGAATTTGCAGGCTGAGATGTTTGAGCTTACGCATGAAACTGAGATGAATTGAGGGATCCGATGGGAAAAATGGGAGGGGTGTCTGTAGCCACAGCCCAACCAATTCTCAGATGATCAGACGTTGGCGACTTTTCAGGCGGTAAACCTGGCACAGCAGATTTTAGATGGAAAGTTGGAGGACTTGCCGGACATGGGTGAGGCCCACAAGTCCGGGATTTTTCTACATCAAGAACTGCTGTGCTCTATGACCCCATGATGGATTTAAATGTTCTCTTCTGAATAGTGCATATTGATGCATGTTGAACGTTTCTGGATGTCTGTCCGCAACCATCAAGGTACCACAGAGCAAGGAAATAGACCCGTAACGTCTTTAGGAGGGTGTTTGCAAGATTTTCTGCGCAGCCGCGAACTGTGGCAGGCCGAGGATGTCATGAAGAAATTCAGATTAGATGATGAAGCGAGACGAAAGCTCGCATCGGCCTTGGGATCGGTGAGCTGCAAGTATTTCTGTTGTACCACGGAAGTTTATACGAGAGTTGGGATGTGGAACGGATATGGGGTGTTGAATAACCCTGAACTTGGTTATCTACCGAACCTACCAGTTACACCAATGACGTCAACAACCTTGTCATAAGTTATACCTGCTAGGGATCCCATAGTTGCGTCACACCCACCATCTGTTTGGTTGTGAGGTTCAGATTGTCCTTCAGCGTGCAGATGACAGCTCCCGCGTGCTGGGCAGATTGGAGGCAGGACAAGACATCCTTAACGCGACCTACCAATTTCCATGGATTTGGGGTTCCCCCAATCGATTCGTACTTCTGCGCTGAGTTCTACTGCACATGCATATCCAGATGCTCGGAGCAGTTCACCGTAGCGGCAGCGGGGGTTATAGATGTATAGCCAGCCTCTAACAGCCTCTAAGCCTCTTTTGCTGTGCCTTTCTGCGTGCGCCTCTAGGCCTCTAAGCCTCCAAGCTGCTTTGCATCAATTTTTCATTCCTTGAAGCCTCTAAGCCTCTTAAACTTTGTCGTTCACTAGTTTACTGGGCTAAACCTGGGGTCTGTGGTCCAGGTAGGAGAAAAAACAAAAGGTATTCCCTCTTTTGTTGGGGGTGCCTGTAGTTGCACGGGATGGCCTAGCCGCTATGCCGCGTTGGGTTGTCACAGCAGCTGCTAGTGACTAGTGCTGCTAGTGACCTGCCAGTGGCTTCTAAGCAATGGGATGGGCTGACGGAACCTGTCAGCCACAGGTCCACTGACAGCGCTCGTCTAAGTGGAATTGTGGGCACTAAGATGTGGGATCCAATGGTCAGTGGCCAGAGGATTCACTGTAGATTGTTTCACCAGGTCAAGGTAGGCCACTCCCTAGTGGTCTGACGGTGCTGGATGGTTGTTTCATATGAATTCATATTATTCTTTGATCGGTTAGGGATTCTTGAAACTCTGCCTCTTTATTTTTTCTACACCTTCGGCCATGTATTGGAGGTTACCCACAGGAAAAAAAAACAGGGAGATCGGGAGGTCTGTGGTCGGGTTGGGCCCTTGTGGGCCCATCTGTGGTCGCTCAAGGTCTACTTGGAATCCGCGCGGAAACCCTCAGATGCCGCAACTTGGCTGCAGTGAAACAAAACATCCTGCAGCGATTTGAAGAGGGAGTTGAAACGAACCCCCCAAGAAATCAACAAGAATTTCAGAATTGAACCCCCAGCATACATGAAGTAAAGTACATTGAACTGTACATTATTCCATATTATTCCTCCATTTTTTTTGATGTTCACCAGGGTGCGAGTGCCTTGTCGTAGATCCAAACCCTGAATCAACCCAATGCTTTGCAGGTGCGAACCATGTTCGGACGCCTAATGGCTGGAGGGGTCCGGTGCCCCAAGGGTTCTTGACTGAAGGTAACAGGCCATTTGAAGAACTTGTTCAACAAATTGGATGCAACTGGGAAATGTGTGCATATACAGATATACAGACATGCGCAAGCGTGCATCTTACATGTGTTCGGATTTAAAAGCACCGGTCCCAAACGCCCATGATGTCATTTGGAGGCTGCGAGCTCATGGGTGTTGACTCTTTGATCCACTTGAGGATGTTCCTGAAGAGCACAAGGACAAAGATGAGAAGCCCAAGGATGACGATCGTGATGGGTCCAGAGGTGCCTCTGGTTGCTGAAGCTGAAAGGTGATGAAGCGTGAGATCCCATCCCCCGGTTTGATTTTTGCATTGGAGAAGGGGTTTCGATCTGATGGGGTTGATACGGCAGATCGTCGCCGGGGGCGAGAGCGCGACCGTGACCGCGATCGTGACCGTGGGGATCTTAGGATCAGAGTAGTCTCATTGCTGGGTTAAGCCTGCAGCGCAATTCAAATCCAAATTGTGAAATTGTGATCATTGCCGAATGGCATCAGGTCGTTCCCGGTCTCGTTCACGCTGGAAGTCCCAGTTAGTTCACAAGTCATTGGTTTGACGAGGTGTATAAAATTCAAATCGAGTTGTTGGGAACCTGCAACATTCGTGTTGCTGGGAAGCTGGGAAGATGGTGGGATTCTTGAAGGCTAGAAAAGAATGAATTTCAGAACTCATGTGGCTGGATGTTGCTGGGAAAATGGGAACCTGACCATTTGTGGCGCACCAGTCTTAACCTGTAAATTCTCCCGAGGACGACGCTCACGTTCACGAAGACGCTGAGCCATGGGAAGCCGCGAACAATGGCCAGTTGGGACCCAGTGTTGTAACTGATGGATCTGATGGTGTGTAAGACTGAAACAGCATGAAACAGCTATGAAAGTAGGACCAGGCGGGGGTTGGCCGGTACTTGATTTGCAGAGAAGATCCAGCTTCTGCGACAATTCTTGCTGGACATCAATTTGTTTCCTCACAGGGTCACCTGGTCACTGCTCAGGCCGATCTTATGATGTAGCTCTGGGAACACCTGCAGAAGGTCCCCAGTCGAATGCCCTGCCCACTAGTCACTAGTATTCTCAAAGACACCATCAGTCAGAGATCATCAGTTGATTTATGGGCTGGGCCGGATTGCATGTGCTGCAGTAGATAGCTAGAGCAACTAAAAAGTTGGCCCTACCTGCGGCCAGGGCCAGCTTAGCAACTGGCTGAGTGCGGAAAGACCAGTAGCCCCCTGGCTGTTTTGTACATGTATCTCAGGTTTGCGTCGCGCACCAGCACGCACCAGCGTCCGTCCAACATTGAAAAAAGCGGCTTGAACACTCTGCATACCAATTGAATCCAATTGAGTCATTGTGGTACACCAAATCATTCAAATCATGCCACATTTATCGACCCAATTTGACGATCTTCGGTGTAGACCACTTTCAACCTGTGCCTCATGGAAAGCACAAGATTGGTGAAACCAACAACCAACCAGGTCCGCGCATGAGGTCGGCTGTCAAGATTTATCATCGGCCCTTGGAGAAATTCTTGGCAGCTCAAATGCGGTGTAGCTGTAGCTGTGCAAATCGGCAACCAGCAACCCTTAGTCATGTTCAGCCACATGACCTACTCCAAGCCAACACTAGCTCTGTCGAAGATAGGAAGAAAGGACAACGGACCTCAAAACTTGGACAGGAAACTTCAAGATCCCGCAACCCTGCAGCCTTAGCTTCTGCCACTTCGCACCCCTCTAGCTTCTAAACTTTCGCTTCGGGATTTTGCCACCGATTTTCATTTTTGGAAGCTACGGCCATGTTGTCCAACGCAGTTCGTTTCCTGCGTCCGGTGTCTGCCTGCGCAACTTGGATGAAGTTTCTGGCAATTGTTCTGGGCCGGGCTGATTATGGACATATGGGTTTGGAAGCCAGAGATTGTGATTGTCCATGGTACTATATAAATGATACTAAATACCAAATGGTACTAAATGTAGTACTTATTCGATGATGTCAATGAGTCATGGTTCTACCCATCAGATGAAATTCGAGTTGCGAAGTGCGGCTGATGTGACAAACCCAACAGATGGCGAGGCATGGAGAGCAATCCCTGCAGCACAGAGAGGGCAGATGCTGTGTCTTTCAAGGCGCCTTGATGAAAAAAGGTGGCAGACATGCAAAAAAGCTTCAGGTGGTCAGTTTAGTTTCCAAGTTCGGAAATCTTGGATGTGGCTGGCTGGTATGCCACGTGAAAGGATATGAAAGGATATGAAAGGATATGAACGGCACAATCTGTTTGTGACGTTTCATGCCACATGGTGGTTTGGCTAAAGACTTATGATCTCCTTGGTCCTGTTGAGAATTGCTATTGCTGGCAGGATTGCGTGCAACATCCTCGTGGAAAAAAATACGAAAACGTACAGATTTCCGGCAGGCGTGGCTTCGCGGAGATACTGCCCGAGGATGACCAAGAGAGAGAGGTTCGTGCCTCCTCCCGGAGTGGAGTGAGGGAGATGGCATGGGTATCCCAAAGTGAGGGACATATGAATTGAATTTTACTGTATTGGTTGCCATACTCCACTGACCAGCTGTGGGAGTTGCAAGTGGTACACAGCAGGGCACAGTTGATTTGTGGCGCTGGGTCCGGCAACAACTTTAGTTCAACCGCAGCCGTTAGCTCAGGGGATTCAAGGGCTGGCTCTGGGGGTATGGAGCCAGGCCTTCTTGCTCTGCAAATGGCAGAAGCTTGCTGAGTTTTTTGGGAAAGCGGGTAGAAGATGAATAACTACCACTTGTACGAAGAGATTGGGCGCGGCAAATATTCCCAAGCTTCTCGGACATAATCAGGGTGATTGGAGATGTCTCTGAATATTGGTAGTTCGTAGTCTTGTAGATAGGTCTGCACCATGATGCTCAATGTTGCTGAGGTGTACAAAGGCAGAAAGAAGTTCACGATCCACTTCGTGGCCGTGAAAAGCACGGAGAAATGCCAAAGGGAGAAAGTCATGACCGAGGTGGAGCTCCTCTCCGGTTTGCGCCACCCGAAGCTCGGAAAATGGCACACATGCAAAAACAAAGTTTGGGGCCCCGGTGAAAACGAAGATCAAACATCTTAAAACCCCAAAATGGCGATTCAACGGCTATTCGCAACAGGAAAATCATTTTAATTCACTAAATCCTTTTGATCCTTGCCATGGTTCTTTCGTGGTAGCTCCCCATCCTGGAGCCAGCCCAACATTCCTCATGCTGCGCCGGACAGGCAAACCCAGGCATAGAGGCATACCTGTGCAGCAACTAGCACTACCCAAAGTAAGATCTCGACTCCGCCAACATGAGCCAGGAATGTGATTGAATATTTGAACTGCTATGAGACGCGGAACCACTTGTGGGTGATTTTCGAGTACTGCGCTGGTGGAGATCTGCTGCGTCTATTGAAGCAGGACAGCCGCCTACCAGAAGACCGAGCAACGCGACAGCAAGTTGCAGGGCCGGGATGGTGCAATGAATGTTGGACAAATGTTGGACAAGGGGTGGTTCTGTATGCTATGGAGGACCACCAGGGACCACCAGTTTCAAATTGTGAGTACCCGTGACAAGGTCACCAACTTGAAAGCACAACGCTTGCTTATATTCACTATCAACTGGCGGCAAAACCCCGTGAATGGCCTGAGGTTCGTATCTTTGGGCGCCAGATTTGCGCGGGATTGCTTCACATCCACTCGCGTCACTTGACTAGATCTGTGCGGGTATTGATGTTGAGAGCAACATGAAAGAAAGCTCAGCCATCCAGCATTTGCACACAATCGCAGACAGCTTATGCACTCTGCCCTACGGTGCTGAGGTGGGATTATTTTCTGTGACCTGAAGCCTTCCAATATCCTCTTCACGGAAGATGAGGTCCTGAAGCTAAGTCACTTCGGCCAGGCTCTCCGTGTCGAAGCGGTGAACAACTCCGGCCCCAGCGGCCCGGGGCGCCGACATGGCACAGCGCAGTATATGGCACCAGAGCTCTTCTCAGAGGTCCGACATGGTCCGTCATGTGGGTGTGTCTGAAGATGGGGATGATCAACCATTGGTTTTGGGGTGTACCATATTTTCAGATATATAAACCCCATGTAGTTCATCCATCGGGTTAAACTGCATTATGAGATTGTCCATGGAGGGAAAAGAACATTGAATCAGACGTGTGATTTGTGAGCAAGAATGTTAGTTCAACACCATCTTTGTGCAATACAGTTGTTGTTCATGTCGCCCTTCAGTTTTTGTTCATCCAACCATGCCGCCATGCCCTGACCCCCTTCCCCTTGCAGAGTGAGTTCTGTCCCTAGATCCAACCAGATCCCAGCCTTCAGGCAGGTCTTCATTCCTTCAGCTCAGATCTTTGGTCCTTGGGTTGCGTCCTCCACGAGCTCTTCTCGGGTTCACCACCCTTCACCGCGGTGTCCTCTCAGCAGCTTCAATGTCTGGTGATGGATGCTGCGGTGCCCAAGATGCCAGGGGCTACTCCCGAGTTCCAGGCCATGGGGGTCCTGGGCTTTGTGCTTCGCCGAATTTGCAACCAGACTTGGGTCATGGGCAACACGAATCAACACAATACATGTTGTAATGGTCTATATGCCTGCATACATATCACCAGTTTTGTCGATTTGATCAGTTTGACTTTGTGTTTTTTCATTGGCTTCGTATCCATCTTTGGATGGTATACACTGCGCCGCATACCCCGAATTTGATGCAAACATATTTATTTCTTGGCTGGTTATCCTCCTTTTTCGATGGCTGAAGCAATCATAGATAGTTGAACATCCCAAGTTCTGACTGGTTCAACTCCCCCTCAAATGCCTAGTTTCGGATCCCATCTTTTCCATGTTTTTCCATGGTTTTTCTCCATATTTTCCATGGATTTTCCATGGTTCAAAAAGGGACCCATGGCTGCCACGGCCATGGATCGCCCAGGACCTGACCTCCGAGCTCCTCCGGCCCCTGCTGCGACGTTTGGCCTGGCCGCAGCTGCGGGCGCATCGCTGGTGGCGCGGGGAGCGCCTGGGGGAGGACAATGACGTCACTCGGAATGGAGATCCCCGGAGATCCCCAGGTGACCATGTGTATATATATATATGTGTGTGTGTGTTATTATTATTCCTCACATTGACGTGTGGGGTTTTTGTTTTTAGTTCTGTATCCGCCTTCCGCCGCCTCCTCCCGCCTCCTCCCGCCTCCCGCACTCACTCACTCACTCATTCACTCACTCACTCATTCACTCATTCACTCACTCACTCACTCACTCATTCACTCACTCACATTCACCCACTCACTCACTCACTCACTCACTCACCCACCCACCCACTCACTCACTCACTCACCCACTCACTCACTCACTCACTCACTCACTCACATTCACCCACTCACTCACTCACTCACTCACTCACCCACCCACCCACTCACTCACTCACTCACTCACTCACTCACTCACTCACTCACACACTCACAGCGTGGCAGGCGTGGCACAATGTGCACAGCCAAGGGGTCGGATGTACGCCCTGGCGTCCCTCGGGCTCCGCCGCTTTTGCGTGGCAGGCGTGGGACAATGTGCACAGCCAAGGGGTCGGATGTACGCCCTGGCGTCCCTCGGGCTCCGCGTGTTTTGCGTGGCAGGCGTGGGACAATGTGCACTGCCAAGGGGTCGGATGTACGCCCTGGCGTCCCTCGGGCTCCGCCGCTTTTGCGTGGCAGGCGTGGGACAATGTGCACAGCCAAGGGGTCGGATGTACGCCCTGGCGTCCCTCGGGCTCCGCGTCTTTTGCGTGGCAGGCGTGGGACAATGTGCACTACCAAGGGGTCGGATGTACGCCCTGGCGTCCTTCGGGCTCCGCGTCTTTTGCGTGGCAGGCGTGGGACAATGTGCACTGCCAAGGGGTCGGGTGTACGCCCTGGCGTCCCTCGGGCTCCGCGTCTTTTGCGTGGCAGGCGTGGGACAATGTGAGCAGCCAAGGGGTCGGATGTACGCCCTGGCGTCCCTCGGGCTCCGCGTCTTTTGCGTGGCAGGCGTGGGACAATGTGCACTGCCAAGGGGTCGGATGTGCGCCCTGGCGTCCCTCGGGCTCCGCCTCTTTTGCGTGGCAGGCGTGGGACAATGTGCACTGCCAAGGGGTCGGATGTACGCCCTGGCGTCCCTCGGGCTCCGCCTCTTTTGCGTGGCAGGCGTGGGACAATGTGCACTGCCAAGGGGTCGGATGTACGGCCTGGCGTCCCTCGGGCTCCGCCTCTTTTGCGCGGCAGGCGTGGGACAATGTGCACTGCCAAGGGGTCGGATGTACGCCCTGGCGTCCCTCGGGCTCCGCGTCTTTTGCGTGGCAGGCGTGGGACAATGTGGACTGCCAAGGGGTCGGATGTACGCCCTGGCGTCCCTCGGGCTCCGCGTCTTTTGCGTGGCAGGCGTGGTCAATCCCTCTACTCACTCCCTCACTCACTCCCTCACTCCCTCCCTCCCTCACTCACTCACTCACTCACTGTACTTGAACATACATACACGCACACACAAACTCACCTACCTACCTACATACATACCTAAGACCTACATACATACCACCATCGTCCCTCCATCACTCTCATACTTCCTCTTCCCTTCTCGCTTTCTCTGCTCAGTCTAAGTCTAAAGAAGTTGGTAACATGTGGGGTTATCCGGTCCTTTAATTATTATTATTGTATATTTGTGTAGTTGTGATATATATTCTCTTAAAACCTGTGTGATTCACCATTTTAGGAAACCTCTTTATAACATGGATCATATTCATGATGTGTGTATATTCTTGCACATTTGAGTATAATGTATTCCTTATAATGTGTTCTTTTAAGATCTATGTCTATAAGGTGTCGTGGCTCGCCCAGGCCCAGGCCTTGCCACGAGAGCCGCCGCTGAAATCCTGTCGAACCGTGTGACGCGGTGACGATGACGCGGCGAAGTGCCGTGAGAAGCGGAAACGACGCGGACGCGGCGCGCAAAAAGTTTCGGGATCTGATCATAGGGCTGAAATGGAATCCACGGTCCATGGTTTCGTCCATCTTCCTCTGAAATGGCCAGAGCTGAAAACCTATACCACTATGGCTGTGCAACCAGTCAAAACCATGAAAAATGGACATCCATAAATAGCAGCTAGTTTGAACAGAAGGGCTACAGGGTTTTGACCCATCCCCAATGGTCCAGATGGAGCCTGAAAATCTGTTGGGGCTGAGATGGGATTTTAGCGCCTTCAACGGCAAACAATTTCTACCTCAGCCCTTTAGATGGACCCCAAATTGCAGCGGTTGATCATCAATATAGTTTTCCCAGAATGTTTCCCCATTCAAATGCATTTTTTTCCAAGCATTTCCCGATACTATTCACTATTTCCATCCATTTCCATCTATTTCCATCCATTTCCATCCATTTCCACTATTCACGGGCCCCATGGGTTGACATGTTTCCACCTTTTCTGCAGCAAAATCCTCTGGTTTTTTGATGGTGCCAGTGGTGCTAGGTGGCCCAGAACTTGCCCAAGAAACGGCCGCCACGGAGATGGTCACCTGGTGGTTACTATGCAGGGTGGGTACCTATCTATCTACCTATCTTTCTATCTACTGTATCCATCCGGAATCCATCCATCTATCTATCTGATATGAATATGATTATGACTATGAAATTATGACTATGAATATGATGTTGAATATGATGATATATGCATAGATTGAAAAACATGGAGCTACTAAGAGTGTCCCGAACCACAGGATAGTGAACACAATTTGACAGGAGCACATTTAAGTTTCTAACATCTATTTGACCAAATGGTAAAGCCGGGTTTTATCGATGGTTTGTTTTTGGCTGTGCAAGATTGGGAAATCAGAGATTTTGGCAAGAGATACCTAGATTTTGGATTCCGCTGAAAGATTTGGACAAGTCTTGCGCTTTCACCTCTGCGGCGAGTTGGGACACTCCAAATTTCTAGAACAAAGAGACTAGCAGTAACACAAAAACGCCTGTTCACAAAAGGTCATGGGTTACACTTGGGTGCTACAAAATGGTTCACAAAACGGTTGAATAACTCAAATCAGCTGAATCAGCAGAATCAGCAGCTGGGCTTGAAAAGTGGACCCATGCCCTCCACCACCAGGGGCTGTTTGCGCCAGGATGAGTGTCCAGGACTTGGTCACAGAGGTTGAGGTGGCGCTGGTAGAAGGTGACCGCCTGGATAAGGAGATTTTGGGGCCGCAGTTAGAGCCCCAGTTCGCAGATTGCTGGTTGGGCTTATAAAATGGTGACCCTGACCCTGCGAAAATGGCATTTTTTTGAAGTTTCGACGTTTTGAATTGATCTTTGTTTAATGACACCCCACTCAAGTTGCGAGTCCCCTTGGCAGGACTCATCCGCCTACGCCAACTTGAGAAGAGAGGCTGGCAACGGACAGTCTCCCCTCGGCAATTCAACCGGCGTCCTGGTTTCTGAAGAGATCCAGCTCATTGTACGTGCTGATTTGATCTTTTTCGATTTCACTTTTTCATCTTTTCATCCTGAGAGATTTAAATTAACCAAACAGCTGAGATGATGTGGCCATAGTTGCCCCAATGGGCAGCTCCAGGCGCTGTCGCTGAGATTGGAGAACGATGCCCTGAATGAAAAGGTTGCAGAACTTGAGGCCCCGAGGGTGCCGCCGCTGCCGCCCAGGGCTTGGGAAGTGGATAGATGTGGATAGATGTGGATAGATGTGGATAGATGTGGATAGATGTGGATAGATGTGGATAGCATGGGAAGTTGATGGAAGTTGAAATAGTACCAGGTCCAGGCAAGAGCTGTCTTCTGTTGGGAAGGAATGTTCCATCCAGCTCTGAAAATCAGTTAAAACTGGCCGGATGATGCCAGGAGGCTCGTGCCCAGTACATTGCCCAGGAGGTGCGGGATGAAGACAGGTGTCCACGCTGTCCAGAACTGAACCATGTTGTCCACGTGGGGCAGGAAGGTCTCACCGAGAAGCTCAAGGCAGATGGTGCCTTCTGGTATGAAAAGGCCTGCATGACCTGCATGACCTGCATGATGTTTTTTTGTGAGATTTTATGGACGCCTCCCCAATCCAGCATGTCATGATCTGGCAGATTATGCAGATTGAGGCACTCTCGCCAAGTCTGTCCCTGAATTCACAGTATGGCAGGATATCGTGGAGATGACACGCAAAATTCAGGAAGTAGACTACAAGATCGCTGCTTGGCTGATTTTGGACTGGGCTGGTGAAGGACGGGGACATACGGGGATTCAAAATGGAAGAGATTGGCCTCGAGTGGTCATGATGGCCAGTGACTCCGGCAAAGCCCTGTGCTGAGGCTGGTTTGCGGCATAAGCATCATCACAACATCAAAGATGTGGGCTCTTTGAAGCGAACCATGTCTCTCATTGAAAAGCGTGGCAAGGCCGGCCGCGCCCAGTCTGAGCCACCCAATCCCACAGGCTGATGCGAGGTGGGTACTCTTGAATCAGGAGGACCTAGCTAAAGGATAGCATGCCACAGTGACGGTCCCTGACATATCCGGGTGACGCTGCTGCGCTGGCCCTTTTCGGTTAGGATGTGGTTCTTTGGAGTAGTTCACATGGTTCACCAGACCCCAGATTCGCTCATGGCATGCGAGTTCAAATTTTGCCAGATCTCTGGACACCTTTTTTTTATCATGGTATGAGCAGCTTGAGGTGAGGCGAGGCACCACTTTCCATCCACAAGAACAGCTCAGGGGTAGATCACCCATCAGTACCTGCAGCCATGGTCCGCGGATCGGATGGCGCGGAACTGGGCTCGCTCTTCAACAAGATGTTTTTCGGCATGAAAACTCGGGTTCCTGGGGTGCGTCCTGAGACATCCCTACGTACCTTCTGGTCAACAGAGATTTATTGATCTATGGCCACTCCCTGTTTGGTAGATGATCTACCGCTTAAGTCTGTCTTTTTTGATGTGTCACATTGCCAGAGGGTGAAATGCTTTTTTGGTCATGCCGTGCAGCTTTGCCAAGGTTCCTCCCGGCCCCCAAGTCATCGCCGGCGAAAGCCAAAGGGGGACCGCCAAAGCCACTGCTGTCCAGGGCCAACGATGGCAGTGGAGAGGACGAAGCTTGGCGTCACCGAAAATTATGTTTTCTCGAGGGCTACTGGTTGTGTTGGTGTCACTTTGGAATTCCTTATTGAAATTACAAGATGTAATCTGTGCAAGTTGGGCAAGACGCAGCATGAATCAAACGAGGTTCTGACGTTTGGCCCTGAATGAGTTTGCTTTCAACTAATGAGAACTTGTCATTTTTTCCTTCCGCGATTGCTGTCACCATCGACAATCTGCACGCATAGGAAAACTAAATGGACCATTGGTGATTGATTGATTGGAGAAGAAGTTAGGTTTTCCGGCGCTTCGGCGTTCTCACAGCCAAAACACTTTTCTTTTTGGCCACAAATGCTGAAGCCAGAACCGCCACGACTGAAGTGGATTGCACGCTAGATTGAACCATGTTGCACCCCAACTGCTGCCCAAAAAACATGTAAGTAGATATATTTCAATTTTAATTTTTACTTGATCATCAAGTAACAGCTAGCCGCAGCTAGCCGTATCGACGTTCCATGTTGTGATGAAGATTTAAAACATCACCTTCGGATGCTGGTTGGAAAACTTTCCCTTCTTTGCGCCAGGGTGATGTTTCAACATGTTTCAACCATCAATCACCACTTCCAACCAAAAGTGACGAATTCAACCAAGGACATAGTTTAACCATGGCTCAAACATTGCAGACCGTTAGAATCTTGAAACTATTCATTTTGTGCCACTTAGCACCTCACTATATAAACATATTAAACAGACCACTAGATTTTATTGATAAATGTGTGTGTATATATAATTATATATATTATCATACGCACACACACACACGTATTATATGATACTCTCTATTGTGTGCAATTTTTAAATTAAGAAGAAACACACAAGAAGAAAAACACACACACACACGCGCATATATATCTATATATACTCGTACATACACACGCCCACACGCCCACACGCACACGCACACGCACAGAGGTACTGTATATATATATATACATACATTCATTCATTCATTCATACATTTTTCGCACAATACCTTTCACATCCTGTCATGATATCCCTTTTCAGCCCAGGAGATGGACGTTCCCAAGGACGACGTGGATACCGCGGAGAAGCGCCGGCCACGCAGCCCCGCGCGGCCCGCGAGGCCAGCGGTACCCTCGGCACCGCCCAAGCGCCCCGCGGTGGCGCGGGCGGCGGCACCGCGGCGGTTGAACGGGCTGAAGACACCGGCCATGGCACCACAGGTGGGCAGATGCACTCGGAGGATGGGACGTGCAATTGGGGATGGTTTTTAAATGGCTAGATTGGATAGATGTGGATTTGCTTTGCTACCATTTTGTTGGGCATTTCATGGTGAAACAGTAAATGTGAGAGAGACTGCGGCAAGTTGCAGCTCTCAATGTCAGCCAGGTCTCAGAAGCTCGAGGGCCGCCGCTGCGGTTGAACGTGCCCGAAAGTCGAAAGCGGAAATTGGTGCCAGAGCCTCCCTCCTATCCTCCAGAGGTTTGGGAACGTGTCATCGATTCTTCGCGGAATGCAGTGTACTACTGGGAGCACCGAACTCGTAGATCCTCATGGGACGTGCCTCCACGATGTTTTGGATGGTGGGAGCGGCTTCGGACCGAACACACAAACTTGGAGTTCTTCTGGAACTCAGCCACGCAACTGGGTCGAATATGGTCGAATCTACGATAAATCATGTGCCGTACCACTTTCGCCTCGGGTGGTCATGTCACAGAGTTGACCGGCGTTTGAGTCAGCGGTGTAACCACCCACTGCAGGCTAAGACTCAGGAATTTCAATGGCAGTAAACCCATCCTAACGTCCTAGCTATGAGTAGGGCATCTTTCAGTGAAACCACCTGGCATAGCCCGCCCTTCCAAGCCTTCCCAGGCATCAAACTTTGTGGAATTTGCCATTGGCGCCTACTCCCTCAGCCGCATCCGTTTCCTTGGCCCTTGGTGATGAGCCAGTCTGTCGATCTTTGCCCTTGAGGGCGCTTCCAGATGTGAAGCAGGAACGGGAAGATCAGTTTGACCCAATGTGAGTGAGGGCACTACGTAGCACTGGTAATCCATTGATATCCATTGATGTTAAGTCAGACCTAGACTTTGCGGAACCCAACAGTGGCGATGCTACACCTGAGCTTCAGCATGTGCGGTGTTACAGTTGGTATTGCAGGATGTTACAGGATCCTTTACCAATCTTTAACATATTTTTCGCCAAAATATCTCAAGATTTAGGAAAGCTTGTCTGACCACATGCTGGCGTTCAAGGTGGCGGGGCACCAGTTCCGTGCAGCATTATGAAGACCTGCACAATGACTTTGTGATGGGGGCATTTCGAAAAATGGGCCGTTCGCCAAGCCATGATGGGTGACTGGAGGTTGAGTTATATATATATATATAATAATAATAAGAATAAGTGTGGGCTGACTTTTACGACTCCAACCTGAACAACCCGCCACATTTCGGATCCAGAGGCATTGTCAGTACATTCGATGACTTTTTCATCCTCCATTTTGTGTGTCCCTGCCTTTGCAGGTAACCACCTTGATTGACAAGACCGAGGAGGCCTTAGACAGGGGCGAGGCAGGGTTTGCCCATGATGTTATCTCGCGGGGGAACGCAGCAGTTGGATTTCCGGGAGTCACATCATTGGCTGAGGATTGGCTGAGGATCATTTTACATTTTATATCATGTTGGTGGGCTCAACCGTTGAGCTAACTTTGAGCCATCCCCAGCCACCCAAACATATCCAAACAGCCGAGGGAGCTGCCACCGAGCCTCACCGAGCAACTGCAGGTGTCAGATGCCATGCAACTGGAGGCCGACCTGACTGAGGTGGTGGAAGGTTTGCGACAGGAGCTGCTGGCCTCAAGTGGTGGGTGGGGTAGAGCCTGGTATAGCTGGTGCTGGTACAACCTGCCAATGGCGAGGATGATCTTGATGGTCCTTGCAAAGGCCCCATTCCAAGCCGGGCGCAGGAGTCGGCAAAGATTTGGCCCAAGATCAGTAGTTATGAGGCCGCCATTTTAGAACTCAGCGGACAGATGCCTCTTGGAAGCTGATGGTGGGATTTTTAAGGGTCACTGGGATCACTGGGCGTTCAGGGTTGCACTGCAAATCAAGAATCAGGCTTCAAAATGGGCAACATCAGAATTTGGTTCAATTTGTTCAACTGGGGTAATTTTTTAGGGCAAGTCCCTAACATTTTTAGGGCCAAGGTCGGAGACCCAACACCAGCTGCAAGCAGTGCTGCATACGCCAACACGCGAAGCTGATGACCTCCGAACTCATCTGAAAGCGCAGATCAACCAGGCCATTGGCAGATCTGATGGTCCCCCCTGGGGATTGATGTGTAGTGTTCTTCCTTTTTCGGGGGTGCCTGCAGTGTGTTTTGTGTTTTTCTTGAGACTTCACATGCGTTTAGATTTCTGCAAGCAGTTTGGAGCTGTAAGATTGAAGGCAGAAAAACGCCCAATGTCAATGTCCAATGACATGAATGATCAAAGTGATTGGGATAATCAATAAGAGCCAATTTTTATTGCACCGGCTTGTCTATGACAAGTGATATAAACACTGGCATCAACACTTCGTAATCGTACCAACTAGGTGAAGCGCATGATGGCGCAGTTGGGACGGCTGCGGGATATCCAACGTGTCAATGCACAGGACTGAATGGGAGCTGATGGGAGCTGGATTGGTGTTGTGGGCCTTGGAGACAAGGTGATGTAACATGATGTAACCCTCCCGATGTCAAATTCCACATGGAACCCGGAAAGTTCTAATCAATCTAGAATCTAGATGATTTTTCGGGTTCCATGATGTTGGTTTTTCAAGGTGTCAATATTCTCATTTTTTGTGAGCTGATTCTTGTTGGCAAGGTGCAAGGCACAGGATGTATCATGTATCATTTATTTCCCATAAGTTGTTGACATGGAATCCTGGAATCCTGGAATGTCGTTGCCAGTCCACCTGGAAACCACTCCCGGGGTCAGGAGATTGGAATGGTCGAGCGAGAGCGTGCCAAACTGAAGCGATATTGTCGCGTCCGTTGCTCGTCAGCTCGAGCTATTCCCAAGATGTCCTTCTCTGAAGAACATGAAGCTTTTGATATCTGGGTATGGATCAATACCTATTAATACCATTTTTAGTGGGATGAACATCCATTTACCAGCTATTTTGATGTCCACCAGGGGTATAGGGTTTTGACACACTGCCATCTTTTGATCGCCAGCACAATGGGATTTCTTGTGAGTTGCCTTTTTGCACTCTTTCAGAGCCCAGGAAAGTTGCTGGAAGAAGGTGACGAGACAAAGTTACGAGAGAAGATCACCGTGCTGCAAGCGGACACAGATAGGCTTGGCCTGATGCCTTCGCACCGCAGCTGGTACGAGAAGCTTGTCCCCGGAGCACCTTCATGCAAAGATTTGGGCACCCCTTGGAAAACCACCCCTTGGGAAAACTAGCCTTGCATTGGCAGAACTATGCGGGTTTACAAGTCTTCCTGGTGGACACGATCTTCTTTGTTTGATGTAGAGTTTCATGGATACATCACTGGACAGGTGTGAGAAACGCTTGCACAGCCATACGGCTCGAGCTGGCAATTTTGCTGGATGCTTTGTTACTATGAAGTGTATCAGCCACTCTGATCCAGCCAAGAAAGCTTGTCCAAGCGGCTTGCTTGATCCAGGCATACCACTGAAACCCAAAGGTTTTCAATTGTTGGGATTTTTGGAATTTCCCACCACCTTTCCCACAAAAGCCGTGCCCCATCTCATTCTGGAAGATCTCCTCAGGCTTTCTCGCGGTGCGTGCACGAATAGGAACCCTCCTGCATTCCTGCGCATGGGGGAATTAACCCTCAAGACCCGAATAAGAAACCTCACACTGATTGGCTTAGAAAATCCAAGGCCAATTTGATGAGATCTCCAGATTTTCTCAGCTCAACCCCTCCTCATCTCCAACGCGCGTCCACGCGCCCATGTCGGATATGTCGGCCAAGAAGCAGCGCACCAACGGCCCGACCGCGCGGCCGCCAGTGGCCAGCGAGTCGGACGAGTGCTGGAAGACCTGGGCGGAGCGTTGGGCATCGTGGGATCCGAATCCAACGACCAAGGAGCAACTGCTGAGCGCCTGGCATCGAAAATGGGATGGAGCCAAAGTTGGGGGTTGATGGTTGGAGCATGTTGGGGCAGTTGGCTCATTGTGTACACTGATGTTTGGGAGGTTTACGGTTTGATGTTCAGAATGTACGATGCTCCAAATGAACAATTGCAGAAGCAGTCCAATTGTTCCCCTTGGATATCAATGGCGATCAACTAATAAACCATATCTAACTTAGCCATTCTTTAGCTGCTGAGGCATTGTGAAGGCTGGCGACGTTCTGAAGCTTCGAAAACTGCTTCTGCGGCGTTTGGAGTTTGGCACTGCAGGGCTCCGAGGGGCAATGGGGCTTGGGAGCTGCTGCATGAACGACTTGGTGGTCCTACAGAGCACCCAGGCGGGCAAGCGATGGCTGCCTGGTTGAACCTATCAAAGCTGTACGGTGGTTAGCGGCATGGCATAGGGACATTCGTTGCATTACTAAACTGTAGAGATGGCAATCATACAAATGGGATCCCTGATAGCCCAGTTCAGTGATCCAAGCCCGCCCGCTCCCTGCAGGGCATTTGTGCCTACCTGGAATCCGTCTTTGGATCCTCTGCTGCCACGCGGGGCGTTTGTTTGGGCTTCGATCACCGCAGTGCCGCGGGATGCAGCTCCAAAAGCTTCGCACTGCACGCGGCCAACGTCTTTCTGAGCCGGGGCTTCAAGGTCTGGTCATGTCATGCATGATGGGTGTGGTCGCGGAAAATACCAGCCTTGAAACCCTGGGGGATGTGCCACATTCTTGTTGAAAAGGGATTAGCAACGGCATTACCTGGAGATGTCATCCCAAGGACAGGGGCTGTTGGGTATCCCCACCGGATTGTTGATGATTGTTGGAGGTCTGGCTCTACAGGGATGTGGTTGCGACGCCCTTTGTGCCATGGTGTTTGGAGCAACGTGGCTGCTGCGCAGGCGTGATGATCACGGCGTCACACAATCCTGCAGCGGACAACGGACGCTTGGCCTTCTTATGTCCACAAGGGACAACTTGTGGAGTCGCGGGGCCTGGTGCTCTCTAGCAGTTTGACATGGCCCAATTCTGCCATTCCCATTACCGGCACAAGTCCTACTACATCGGGACAAAACGGGTAATATATGGTGATATTTCATTACGCACAGTGTTTGCAGCATGCCACGTCCACTTTAAGACCCACACGGTTTCTTGAAACGCCCAAAGTTTGCTCGTGAAGAGTCGAGCAAAAGACCTTGTAGTATATTCAATGAAGGCAACGCCTGCTATGACTTCCCATGAAAATATGATGTGCTTGTGGGTAGACAAATCCATGAGCCAACGGGTCTCTTGGGGCACACTTTGATTTTTTCAGCCACTGAAGGATACAAAGTCTACTGGGAGAATGGCGCCCAGATCATCCCGCCGCACGATGCCAAGATGGCAGCTCTGATCGAAGAGAATCTGGAGCCCTGGGAGAGCTTAGCGGATGTAGAGGGGGTGCTGAAGCATCCCCTCTGCAAAGATCCCAAGGCCTGTGACGCCTTTGGGGGTCTCCTAAACAACTTCTTGGATGCGGTTTCCCGCGTAGGAGAGAGAGATTCCAGCTTCAGTTGCTAGGCTTGTAAAACACTTCTCCGGATCAGGATTGCAAATTGTAGCTTCGCGAGGATCCCCAAGCCATACATGGAACTTGTGGCCAACACTTGCCAAGGGTCGGTGATATCGCCCGGTGCAGGCAGATGGAGTGATGGACGCCTATTTCCAGCGCCTTCCTACCTTAAGATGCAGTGAGGATGGTTGTGAGTCCAGCTTCTTGATGTTGCTAGCTTGTTCTGATACATCCTGATATGTTTTTTCCCCCAGATAGGAGCACTGACGGCAAGGGTGGTCTTGAAAAGCCTTGACAGGTTGTGATGGTTGTGTGTTGAATTGACAGTCCTGCATTTTGGGGGAGGAGATCGTGGCCAAAGCCATGCCTGTGGTTTACACAGCGATGCATGGTGTTGGTTGCACCTTCGTCCAACAAGCCTTTGATGCTTTTGGACATGGCCGCAGTGCGCTGCATTTGGTGGTGGCACAATGCGAGCCTGATCCCACCTTTCCAACTGTGGCCTTCCCGAACCCTGCAGCTTGACTTATTGGAAGACTCTGAGGTTTCAGGCTGTCAAATTTCCATCCCCACATGAAGTCTTGCTGACAAGCCTATCAAGGGTGTTTGTATTCGGAAGACCTGACATTTTGATGCCATATATACCGCACTTCATTTTAAATGATTGAACAATTGTACTGTTTCATAGCTATAAAATAGAATCCATTCAATATATATATATATATTATATATAATAATTTAATATATTTATGCGAATGATTTGCATGATCACGCACATATTAAAAAAGAGTTTTCCCCAGGAGGAGGGCAAGGGTGCCTTGAAGTTGGCCTTCGAAGAAGCCGAGCGCCAGAAGGCCACATTAGTCTTAGCCAACGACCCCGACGCAGATCGTCTGGCCGTGGCCGAGCGCAAGGACCTCCTGGCGCCGTGGCACGTCTTCACGGGCAACGAGCTGGGAGCGTTGCTGGGACATTGGGCCTGGCACTGCTGGCGGAAGCGGCATCCCACAGCAGATCGGGCAGATATTTCCAAGGTTTGTATGGTGGGATCGGCGGTTTCTTCGAAGTTTCTGGCACGAATTGCTGCCAAAGAAGGCTTCAAATTTGTGCAGCTCCATTTGCTTCAGAGCTTTTGGGATGTCTGATCTTTTCTTAGGGCTGTTGCAGGGCCAAAAGAGATTTTTCCTTGACGTGCGAGCTGCGAGCTTTTGGTTTTGATGTGGCCACGTGAGGTGGAGACCCTAACGGGCTTCAAGTGGATGGGTTCCAAATCTGCCGATCTCCGCGCTGAAGGGTTTGAGGTGATCTTTGCCTATGAAGAGGCCATTGGCTTCTGCTGTGGCGATATTGTGCCTCTGATTGCAGCTGGGGAACTTGTTAGATCTGAAAGGCACGGGGGCCCCGTTCTGTTGCGTGGGCTGACTTTGGGCCCGATGGCATCCCTAATTGGCTACTGAGAATAGGGGCACAAGTTGTGGGGTATCTAAATATGTCTTGAAATATATATATATATATATTTGTTTTCAGACGCTCCAAAGGTCAAAGATAAAGATGGCATTGCCGCTGCCTCCGTTTTCGTGGAGATGGCCAAAACTTGGTCTTTGGAAGGTCGCAGCTGCAAGCAGCAGCTACAAGAGCTGTATGAGAAGTATGGCGCTTTGCAATCCCTGAATAGTTATGTGAAATCTCCTGATCCTTCCATCACCGCAGGAATTTTCGCAGCACAGAGGGGAAGTGACAAGTCGAGTTATCCCAAAGCTGTGGGGGACTTCAAAGTGACAGCTGTGCGAGATCTCACCATTGGCTATGACAGTCGTACGTCTGATGGGAAGCCCGAACTGCCTTTGAATCTGGGAGGGGAGATGATCACCTACTACTTCGGTGAGGCTCTCCGAATGTTTTCTTTTAATAGGGGTTGCATGTGCAAAAAAGCCCCATGTTACAATGTTCTTCGTCTAATTCTTCTATTGTGCCAGTCTATTCCTGACGTTTGACGATTTTGCAGATCCTGGTGATTTTGAACTTGAACTTCCCCCAGCTCCATCCAGCTCGATCCAGCAGTGTGAAGCCACCATAGGTGGATGCAGAGGTGACCCTCCGGACCAGCGGCACCGAGCCCAAAATCAAGTGGTACTCCGAGATGCGCAGCGACGTCGCAGGGGATCCCAAGTTGCAAAGCTTGGTGCGGCACGTGGTCTGCAGCTTACTGGAACCTGTGGCCAATGGCTTGGAGATACGTCCAGAAGATAGAGACTTTCTGTTGTAGGTGGATGGCAAAAGATGCGGACTGGGGCTCTATGGGTGCGGCATATTTTCTCCACCACGTTTTGTGTCATTCAACATTCTTGTTTGGATTTGGTTTGTCATGGTATGAGAGGCTGCAGTACACTCAGAGAATGCTGTTTCTGATTGCTCACACAGTGCTCAGCAAAAAACCAACTGCTGTTTGACCAATGACCCACATCTCAACCAAGTCAGTGTCCCACCAGATGATTTCGTTCGCAGTCACCCTGAGTACGGCCAAGTATACAAATTGGGATGGCCACAGGTTGCGGATGGCTATCAAGGAGTTGGAGTCTGGCTTAAGCCCCCTAACCAAAGAGGCAGGGAAAGTGGCTGGATTTGGTGCTAAGATGCTAAGGAGTGTCTGGTATGTACTGGTGGTTCAAGATTTGATCTATTCGACGTTGTGATCTCCAAAGTGAGAAGTGAACAAGTGAACAACCACATTTCCCAACAAGGAAACACATCTGCCACGTTCTGCCCGCTGCGGGCACAGGCCGCAGCCATCATCAACAAGCTGAGATCGATGCCCTTCGAGTTCACCACAGAGACGGGAAAGTCAGGGATCCCAGTCCTTTAGGCAACACGTGCACACACAAGCACATGTGCAGGTGTATGTGTATGCGTGCACACATATATTTTTACGTACATACATACATCCATACATACATACATCCATACAGACATACATACATACATACATACATATGTATACATACATATACATACATACATCCATACATCCATACATCCATACAGACAGACAGACAGACAGACATACATACATACATACATATGTATACATACATATACATACATACATACATACATCCATCGATACAGACATACATACATACATACATACATACATACATACATACATACATACATACATACATACATACATACACATACACATACACATATACATATACATATACATATACATATACATCCATCCATCCATCCATCCAGACAGACAGACAGACAGACATACATACATACATACATACATACAGACACACACTTGCTCAGAAACATCTTATCGAATTACTGATGTGGAATGCATCGGACGTGCAAAGACAACACAGTAAAACCTAACAGGAGAAATGAAAAAAAAAAATATATATATGCACCAGGCCCTGCCACCCCCCCCCTCCCCCCCCCATATGGGATGGGTCCCATATACTGGTCCCATATGAGATCTTCCCCCTCCCCCCCTGTGGTGTGGTGGGGGTGTGGCACTGTCCCCCTCCCCCCCTGTGGTGTGGTGGATGGGTCCCATATACTGGTCCCATATGAGATCTTCCCCCTCCCCCCCCTGTGGTGTGGTGGGGGTGTGGCACTGTCCCCCTCCCCCCCCTGTGGTGTGGTGGATGGGTCCCATATACTGGTCCCATATGAGATCTTCCCCCTCCCCCCCCTGTGGTGTGGTGGGGGTGTGGCACTGTCCCCCTCCCCCCCCTGTGGTGTGGTGGGGGTGTGGTATGGTATGGTGGGTATGTATGGTGTGTATGGTCGGTCTGGTATGGCATGTTTGGAAAGTATGGTATGTTTGGTATGTATGGTAGGTATGGTATGTATGGCATGAGTGGTTGGTATTGTATGGATGGTAGGTATGGTATGTAAGTCTGTTGGATATGGTATGTTTGATATGACAGTATGTATGGTCTGTATGGTATGTATGGTTACTATGATGGGTATGGAATATGTCCTATCTAAGGTAGGTATGGTATGTATGGCATGTATGCTTGCTATTGTATGTATGCTATTGTATGTATGGTAGGTGTGGTAATTACATTTCATATGTATGGTATGTATGGTATGTATGATAGATATGATAGGTATGGTATGCATGGCATCATTGACATGTATGGTAGGTATGGTATATGTTCAACAGAGGTAGTGTTGTCAGAGTACACAGGTAGTAAACAGGAAGTAGATACAGTAGATACATAGCACATGTATGTATGACTATAGGTAGCACGTAGGTACTTTGAAGGAGTATGTGTGCTACGTAGGTCGCCTAAAAAGGTAGCATGTACCTAGTAAATGCGAGGCTGGTAGTCAGAAATGCTGCAAAGACCTAGGAAATACGAAGCTGGACCTCAGAAATGCTGCCAATAGCTTGCAAATAGAAGGGAATTGGGGCTACTACCTGGGGACCCAACCCATGGGGGGGGGGGGTGGAGAGACGGAGGACGGGACCATATATAGGACTCCGGTGGCCACCAGCTGCGACTTATAATTGCGCCCAGGTGCACCACCGGAGTCCTGCAGGTACGTTTACACGGGTCCCGGGGAGGTGTCTTCGTTGGTCACCGACCCCCCCGGGACCCCGGTGACCCCCTGCAAATTAGAAGTTTTACATCTATTCAGATGGTACACACACACGCCCCGCCACAGCGGGGCGGATGAGATGAGGATGAAAATGAAATGAAGGTGAAAATGGAATGAAAGTTACTTAACCAGGACGCGAAGAGGGGAACGCAAGAGAAGAAGGAAAGAGCAAACACCAACACAACACACCTAGCCCGAAACGGGCAAAACCCTGAAAAGGCAAGGAAAAAGAAAAGCGAAGGCCGACGGACACGCAACCAGACCAGCGGAGGAGGGGGAGGACGGAAGCGCCTGAACCAACCTAACAAAGCGAAACCTAAGCCTACCTCGGCACGCGCAGGACCCAACCTACCTGAAGGGAGGAGAACGCAGAAACACATGAGAAAGGGGACCCATGGGGACTAGTTAGAAAAATGATGCCACCACAATTCATGCAAGGATCGTGATAAGGCTCAAAGGCCCTCGGCATTCATTTCACAACCCTCTGGACGGCTTACGTGGTCAACCCTTGAATTAAGTGCACAATTGAACCTCACCAACGACCATCAAAAGAAAGAAGAACCACACCTAAAGCATGTCCTGAGACCTCCAAATGAATCCATGTCATGATGTATCTTGTCAGTCAAGCTCTCGAGCAACGTTGAAAAGACGGATGTTAACGTGGCTGCCAGCTATGCAAGTCTGCGGAAAGGAAAAAGAGGCCCGGTACAGCGGCCAGTTGTTCAACACTCCCTCGACCGACGTGTGAAACAATGAAAATTGGCCAGCAGTTCACTTTACTTAGACGAATTACTAATTCAAAAGTGTAAATTCAGACATCGTGTTACCGTCAATTGTTAGCCTAGAAAGGCTTTCCCCGAAGGGCTCATACCACCTTGTCGGACAACGGTATGAGTGACACACTTGCTCAGAAACATCTTATCGAATTCCTGATGTGGAATGCATCGGACGTGCAAAGACAACACAGTAAAACCTAACAGGAGAAATTAAAAAATATATATATATAGGACTCCGGTGGCCACCAGCTGCGGCTTATAATTGCGCCCAGGTGCACCACCGGAGTCCTGCAGGTACGTTTACACGGGTCCCGGGGAGGTGTCTTCGTTGGTCACCGACGCCCCCGGGACCCCGGTGACCCCCTGCAAATTAGAAGTTTTACATCTATTCAGATGGTACACACACATACATACATACATACATACATACATACATACATACATATGTATACATACATATACATACATACATCCATCCATACAGACATACATACATACATACATACATATGTATGTATACATACATATACATACATACATCCATCGATACAGACCTACATACAGACATACATACATACATACATACATACATACATATGTATACATACATATACATACATACATACATCCATACAGACATACATACATACATACATACATACATACATATGTATACATACATATACGTACATACATCCATCCATACAGACACACATACATACATACATACATACAGACAGACAGACAGACAGACAGACAGAGACAGACAGACAGACAGACAGACAGACAGACAGACTCAGACAGACAGACAGACAGACAGACAGACAGACATACAGACAGACAGACAGACAGACACACAGACACATACATACATACATACATACATACATACAGAGACAGACAGACAGACAGACAGACAGACATACAATACATACATACATACATACAAACATACCTACAAACATACCTACAAACATACCTACAGTACATACATACCTACCTACATACATACATACATACCTACCTACCTACCTACATACATACATACATACATACATACATTACGTGCATATATATATTATATATATATTATCTGCATCACTTTCACTTTCATTTTCGAGAATCTTGCACAAGGCTGCAGGGCGTGACCCTTTGATGCCGCGATATATATATATACATATATATATATATGCATATAGATTTAAACAAGGACGTAGGTATAGATGTAGATATAGATAGCGTAGGTAGGTAGGTAGGTAGCTAGCTAGCTAGACAGGCAGGCAGACAGACAGATAGACAGATAGACAAATCACTCACGTGCATTATACTTTCATGTTGTGATGGGACACTGCTCCACCCAAACAATGGCAGCAAATTTCAAGTGGTGAACGGTGAACTGTTCGCCAAGGCTCAGAGAGCAACTCATCGCGAACATCCACCAGGAAGAGTGCGGAATCGACCAGACTTGTTGATGTCAGATTCCAACCGATGACAAATATGGGTATGGATCAATACCTATTAATACCATTTTTAATGGGATGAACATCCATAAATCCCAGCTATGACTTGGGGTTCACTAGGTACCAGGGTTTTGACCCATCCCCATATGAAAAATATGAAACATATCTGGCTGGAAATGGCAGATGCGAAGTTCTGCATGTCCTGCTTTCGGGAGGAATCTCAATGGAAAGAAAGACTAGCTGCGCCTTGGCTTTCAAAGGTGTGCGCATAGGTGCAAACTCGTTGTTACTTCGCAGGCCGAATTTCACACGCCGCATCTAGAGCTTAGATAACATGAGTATGTATTGGCACTCAGGTGGTGTGGACGCGTGCCATTCTGCAATCATGCACTTGTTCTCTATGGGACCCAATGATTTTATGCTGGGCATTGTGAGAACCCCCTAGCCCTAGCAGGCTCAATCCTTCAGATCTGTTTCCGAATTTCCTCGCTTGTTCTTGGATGTTTTTATACTTTTTGGTGTTTTCCACAGGCTGAAACTGAGGTTCTTCGTGGTGAAAAGCTTCAGAATATCCGCTTTATCGCCATGTTGATGAAGGCGCTCGACTCTTGAAGCTGCTGCGGTTGATTGCACGGCCTTGACGACTTCTATCTTAGGCAGCGCTAATAAGATGACATGACAGGGTTTGTGCAAAGGTGGAGCGGTCTGAGTTGATTTCCTGCTGTTTAGTCTTCAGATTCGGAAAGTTAACGTGGAGTTATTTAGCTATCGCCGAGTTCAAGCAGCTGCATGATAGAAGTTGCTGGTGGGGAGTTGGTGCACACGCCGCAGATGGCATGAGTCCCAGACGCGCCAGCAGGTCTTGTTTTGTTTGGGACTTGAGTTGGTTGCCTCTGTGAACCACCTCGTTTTCAGACCATCAGATGTCTTGGACCCCAAATATGCATATATAATTTGGTAACATGCCAGAAGCATGGGCAGTTTTACTTCCTTTTACACCCCCTGAGCCACATCCAGATTTGCATCGCCATTTAGCCATCTCGCTGTGCTCATGGGCCCGCTAGCCGCGTCAGAGTCTTGACCTGCAGCGTCTGGCCATGTCTGGCCTTTGCCAGTTGAGATGTCGACGAAAAAGAGATGCTGTCAGCACATGTCTTCCTCTTTCCATGTTGCTGGTTGTTGATCCCTTCCACTGATGAACACCACACTTTAAGTTTAGACTTCAGTCCCCTAGATGGATTCTTGTGTTTTTAGGGGGTGGTTATTTGTAAGTGGAACGGATTAGCTTCCTTGTGACTCATGACTACTTTCAAGTGTGTCGCGCCTCCGCCATGCGGGCCTCGACATTTCCAGCTTGACACAGCAGAAGTCGACAAGCTATACAAGACCATGATCATGGCAATCCCTAATAGTGGATTCTCAAGGCTTTAGCCCATATTTTCGAATGAACACCCCCACAAATCTCAATGCATCTCAGGTTGTCAATGGAAATCTCCAGGGCTGCAAGCCATTTAAGAGACACTTACTTAAGGTCCAAAGCAGCACATGGCAGAAAATGCATGGCAGCCTGGGCCTGGGAAGTCATGAGCCCCGTCAGATTCAATACCTTCATTCAGCTCTGCCGTAGAGATCGTAGAGTCATGGCCCTGGACTCTTTGGATATCACTGTCCGGGTCCCTGGCGACGAACATGTAGGCGGCAGACCTTCCGGAGCCGTGATACTATTCAACTATTCCCTTTGATATTCTTTTGCGTCCATGATGTCCATGTTCATTACTTGCCTGTGAACGTCCATGAACAATCTTAACATATCTTAACATAATCTTGCATACGGTTGTAGGCGCAAAACTTCGCAGACTACAAGACAAATCTGTACTTTGTCTGTCTCTCTGTCTCTCTGTCTCTCTGTCTCTCTGTCTCTCTGTCTCTCTGTCTCTCTGTCTCTCTGTCTCTGTCTCTCTCTCTCTCTCTCCCAGTCCAATACAGGATACAAAGTTACGGTAGCTACTGCATCTCACCTTTGTTGTGGCTCGTGTTTTCACAACAAACGACTGACTTCCTTTGCGCTTTCAATGCCAGCTAAGGCGTTGCTTTCTTCGCAGGTGATCGAGGAGTTGGCCAGTCGGAGCCCATGGGAGTTCTGGGGTGGTGGCACATGCAGCACCACAAGCAATTGTGTATAGATAAAATAATTAAGTAGATAAATGATAAATAGATCAATAAATGAATGTACTATATGTCTACGTCATATGTTTAATATATATATATATGTATGCAAGTGTATATATATATATATACATATCATAGAGACATATGACTATGTGTGCGCCCATGGTATATGTATGCTTCAACGCCTGCATGTATAGCGCGGTTGCCAATTGGATATGCTGAACCAACACATAATCTTTGGGATAGCTGTTGCCCATAAAAGTGATCTTAATCCGTTACACATGAAAGCATTGACATCGACACTAATTGAGTATCTACATATCTAGATGCAAGATGTATTGAGACAACCCCATGGCTCTTACACACCAACCAGTGGATATATGGGTGGTCAAGGTCAAGCACTGGCTGTCGATCACAGAAACCAAGGAGGTGGCGCACCGTTGGGATGGCGGTGTTTTTGTTGTGGGGACATGTCATCCTGGTGCCGCCTCCGCCGCCTCCGTCCTGCCAGGTAAAAAGAGCAGTGTGCCCCCGCTGAAGCGGGCAGACAGATCCAAGGAATCACTGGCTGAGTTTGGAGAAGTGCTGAGAGCCTCAACATGTAATCACAACATATCACAACTAGCTCCTGGTTGGCCATGTATCCCACCTGCCATAAATGCCCAATCAACTGCAACAAGCCACTTCAGCAAGTAGTGTCATCATGCAGAATCCAGAAGCAACCCACCACGAAAACATCGCAGCATATCTTCATCCCGAGCTGCAGGCCCAACACAACCAAGTCTTAAAACATCGTGGAGTAAAAAAACCGCCTCGGCATTTTCCAACTTTTCTGGGAGAATCTTCAGCCCCTTGCTCCCATCTCCGCCCCAGGACACGCCCAGAAGGGTGCCATCCGCACCGTCTCCCGGGTCACCGCCGCCGTTGGTTCCCTCCCAGAGGCTCACCGAGAAACGGCCTGCGGCGCCTGCGGAAGCTCGAAGGGCCGCTGGGCGAAGGACACTGCACCAGGTCATTTTGGGGATCCCGGATGGGAATTTAACAGTTTGCTATGGAAAATCATCGTATTTTTTTCCGTTCTCAACACGCAAGTCATGGAACAAAATGGACAAACAACAATGCATTCAAAAAAAATATCATATCTACGTCAAATTCCCAGAGGGTATCCCAGATGGTATCCCCTTAATATATCGTAATATTGGATGGCCAACCACTGTTTGAGGAAAAACTTGACCTTTTCTCCAAGGCGCCTTCCCAGCCACAGCTGGCAGCGTCCAAGAGTCGGCACCTGATCCGATTTGGGATGTAGGGATGAGCTTTTATGAATCAGCTGTGAGGTATGGTGTGATTTTGGAGATTTTGGATATTTTGGATATGCTGCCAGTTCTGGATTTCCATATATTTTCATTCCACATTTATCCCATCCAACGATGGATTGGTGTCCAATGGCTTTGTGAGAGGGATGAGAGTGTACAAGGAGGCAACCTTCATCTCTTTTTACCTGCCGCGTCGCTGCGATGCACAGGTTGCAGGAACAGCAGAAATACTTTCTGGACCTTTCTGGATCATACGATATCATACGGGTGTTTCCTGCAATTTGCAGTCCATTGTGGAGGTCCCAAGTTGTGAATCATTTTGAGAGACAAAACATCTTTAATCCCCCTTACAGGCCCTTAGATTGGATTCAAGTCTTTCACCTGTCCTGAGGTGTGCCCAAGGCTGGAAGGGGTTGAGACTTTTTTGGCCAGCGCCATGTTGAGCAACTTTCTGAAGCACATTGCAATAGGCGGAGGCTATTGTTATGGAATTGATGTGTCAGATCTTTTTATTGCTTGTGAAGTGAGCGTATCTCTTCCATCTCCATACATGATCTAAGACAAGATGCCTTTATCAATGCCAGCTCGGGATTGTGCCCACAGTTGGTTCCTATGTAATTAATTAGGTACCATAAAAAGGTCGCTCTGAGGACCAAGCTAATGCCGCCACAGGCGGAAAATCTATCGCCCGAATTTGGCCTCTTGGCTGGTGCGGGTCAGGGAGCGCCCAATGCGATGTTTTGGGTTGGACCAGTGACTAGTGCCGAAGAAAAGCTAGACATGGCGGCATAGGCAACGAGAGCACGGTATTGCCAACACTCAACAAAAACAAATACTAATGCGGTATACTCAGCAATAAATTTCTTTCTTGGGTATGGGTTTTCAATGGTTTTCAGAACATATGTTTTCGGGGCATTTTAAATACCCGGGCTGAGCCGTGTCTGGGTCAGGAAAGCTGAAGCCTCTGAGGTCGCTCGTTGCCACAGGGGACCTATGCAACGTCACCGACGTCACCTGAGAAGGTGGAGAAGACTTCGGTCCCTTCGGTGGAGGCGTGTGATGAAAGGATGACTCAGCCAGGGCATTCCAACTTCCAGGGCGTTCCAGCGTATTGCTCAAATCTCCGGAGTTAAAATCTGCTGATTGGCCACTAAGGATTGGCCACGTTTTGAGTCTTCGGAGTCATATGAAAACAGCCGTAGACCATGATGGAATGGATGAGGTTTCCAGGGTATTGACGGGTCTAGGATAGTGATCCTAGAAAACATGCATTGTTGCTGCTATGGCTTTAAGCGAGTGAGACCGGTTCTTAAAGCGATGAATCGCACACGCACACACCACCACGCAATTGGACACATGGGCACAATGTCAGGAATTGGTACCATGCAGATGGTGGAAGGTAATGACTTGCATTTGTGCGCAGCCCTTATTCCAGTCTCCATGTTGTCTATGCGAAGCCATGAGCGACCTGCTGGACGCGTCCGTGCAAAACTTTAAGTTGCGACGGCCGGAGGTGCAGATTGCAAAGTGCGGCTCCGGCATTTACGAAGTACAAGGACGGAGAATCAAACTTGAGAGCAATGGGTGGGGCCAGCCCTTAGTCGTCGATGGCCCTTTGCGGCAGCCCTTGAGTGACTACATCGATGGTTCTGGCCGTCATGAAGCATAGCAGCCTCCCTTGGTGCAATCTGCACTCCATGCCTTACCCAAGGCACGCCGTGTTTCCTTCGAGGAACTGTATCCAGAAAACCGCACTGATGCCATGCGCCTCGCAGTGCTGGAGGCCCAGGCCAGGGAGATGGACGCCAAAGAACAGCTCTCCCGCTCACCGTCTCCGGACAGGCGCCGTGCCATGCACCATGCGACCGTGCACTTTGGCCACCACGGCCACCACGGCCCGGTGGGGTCGCTGGGACGTACTCCGTCGCCACTATCGCAGCCGAACCTGCGAGTGCCGGTGCCGGTGCTGTTTTCGAGGTCGGCTCCGATGGTCTTCGGCACTGCGCCACGCACACTTCCCATGCCGCTTGCGCCCGTGGCTCGACAACGCTCTCACTCGCCATGCCCCCAGGTGGTGAAAATGCCGCCTGCGGCCCCTGCACGGATGGGCTTGCCGGAGCTGAAGCAAGCCTTCATGGAGCTGAAGGGTAGTGCAATATCTTTAAAGCATCAACTGCAATCGCTGCAAGCGCGTGCCATTGAAGAACTCACCAGAAGTGGTGATACAACTGTGGCTCCTCCCAGCGAGCAAGCTGACCTTAGTTCAAGCGCTTGATGGCATCCCTGAGTGCCAAAAAGCATTGGGCGTGTTCAAGGATAGAATTGATGCTGTGAGCATTGTCAACTTCTCCTGCACAATCACTACAGTCACCACAGGCAGTTTCATGATGCTCCCTGGGCAGGCAAAAAGCCCAGCAACTACTCCGCGTACTCGGCCAAAGAAGGACAGATCGGGGTGCCTCACAATTCTGATGCAAACCATGTATCAAATTGTGGATTCTGTAGAACTCCTTCAAGAACTTTCATGTTAGAAGACACACCGTTTCATGGAAGTCAGGAATCATGTGAAATAGAGATCCCAGCTTTGATGCATACTGCAGACCTTTTAAGCTCAAAGAAACTATTTAATGGTAATCCTATTACATGTACATAGATATAATCCTCTTTATACGCTGTTGCATGGCTCAAGAAAAAGCTGAGTGTTACTGGCTGTTTAACCCTAAAATACAGGTTATCAGCCGTATAGCCTAGTTTTCCCCCTAGGTAGTTTTCTGCTCTTGGTATTGCTTCCACCTTGAGCTTGTAGGGATTCCCTTGCCGCCTTGTTAGTGCCATGGCTAACCCTATGCTACCTATCGCCGACTCCCCGGAGACGATCGACATAAGCACCCCTCCGAGCTCCGAAAGATCAAGGAGCCAGCGTGCTGGTGGAGCCCCTCTCACTGAGGCTGTCGCAATGATGCCACAGAACTCAGGTTTTTCACATCGAGGAGTTTTGCCAGCCGCTACCCGGGAGGGTGGGCCGAACGTTCATAGTACTGGAGGTTCTGGAAATCGGGTGTTCAATCAAATGAATGTAAACCACGAACAACGTGTGATTATTGATCAGCAGCACTATGTCCAGAACAACAAGGTACTCATTCAGACTCATGACCCAGCATATACGGAGATGCTTGAGCAGACAGCCGAAGCGCGTCATCGCATGGCAATAGCCGAAGCGGAAGCTCAGGCCAATCACCGTCACGAAGTTTTGACTGGAAGTCTGAAGGAAGCACTGCAAATGCGTGAAGCCCAAGAGATCAATCAGGCAAGGATGTTTCTGCGGGAGAATGAGGAGAACATTAAAAGTGAGGCCGTTCAGCATGTCCGTGCCCATGAGGCTCAGTGTACAGAAAAGGTTCAGGCGTACCAGAGAATCTTGGACGCTAACCTCCGTCAATCAATGGCCACTAAGGAGAGCGAGATTGAACGCCTCCGAAGTCAGGCCGCCGAGAAGGAGCGAGCTCAGGAAGAACGCATCAAAAGGCTCGAAGAGCTTGTGATGCAACAAAGTCTTCACAACCAAAAGCTCCAGAGTATGTTGGACTCTCAGCTGTCGCAGCCGCCTCCTATCCAAGTTGTGGAAACCGCGACTTTGACTAGGACGGCGGAGCCATATGTCATTTCTGCCCCGATCCCGGAATGTACAGGTGATCCTTCGATAACATCCGTGCATCCGCCCCTCGACCTTTTAGGTTCCGAAGTCGTCGCACCTCCATACACCGCTCCACCAATGCTAGCTGGCCCATTTGCCGGCAACACCGATGGAGAAGCCGTGGATATGGTCGTTGGCCGAATTCCAGCGGGAGGTATCAACGTAACCTATTGCAAACAGGTTGAGAGAATTCCCATTTCAGGTCCATCCAATCAAGTTCCCCAGAATGTTGCCTCGGGAGACAATACCCCAATGTCTGGTCGTACTGTACCGTATGGGGGTTCTGGTCGTAAGCCCAATAGGGATCCCAATGATGGCAACAAACCAGGAAATAACGGTAATGGGGGACCTGGAGGGGGGGATGACGGTGATGATAACGGAGATGATCATGATGATTCACCCGTCCCATCGCCTTCACTAGCGCCCGAAGTCAATAAGAAGAAGGACAAGAAGAAGGCGTCAGGTGGTGGCGGTGGAGGGGGAGATGATGACCCAGGTAAAGATTCTGACGACAGTGATGAAAAATTTGTTCGACGTATGAAGAAGTTTTTGGGGGGTGGTTTCAACCAAAGTGGGAATGATGAGAAACCCAAAGTCAAGGAAGCGGATACCATCAAGCTTCCAGCCATCCCGGGTCCGGAGACATATAGAAACTGGCGCATCAAAACCAGAGAGGCAATAGTCGCAGCTTCCACCAACCCAGATTCTGCATTTGCATGGATTGGAGAGGTTTGGAAAGAAGGTCAGACAATTGAAGCCCTCCGGAAGGTGGCGCCGTTTGCAACACTAGATGCCAAGCTCCTGTCAGCTCTAACCAACATCATTACGGGGGATTTTGCCCGAAAGGTTGACACCTTCAAGGAGACCGAAGCCAATGAGGGGAGAATCGTTAGGGGTCGCCAAGTTCTTTTCATGTTACATGACCATTTCAGTACAAACATGAAACATGGCTCAACCTATGCCCTTCAGGATCTGTTTAGTGTCCACCTAAAGGGAGAGAACCTCAAAACATTCATTTCGAATTGGGACCAAGTGCTAGCAGGTATTGTGAAAGTTCCTGAGGAGTCAGTACTGGAAACACTGTTCTATAATCAGGTCAAGAACTGCAAAGCCATAGCCCATGATTTGAATGAGTACCATCGAGCAGACGAAGGCACAGAGAAAAGAAAGTATGACTTCCTTGTTTCCGCCGTGCGCAGGCACCTGGATCGTGAACGCCTGGAGACCAACCGAGAGAGGGTTGCTCGGAATCTCTCAGGTACTGCCAAACCTTCCGCACCCGCTGTCGAAGGAAAGGTAGGTTTCATTCCACGGGGTTACTGTGTTAAGTGGAACAAGGGAGGATGCACCAATGAAAATTGCACGTTCAAGCATGAAGTTCCATCCAAAAGAACTCCTTCCACCAAACCCAAAAGGGATTCAAGTCGTGGACGATCACCATCAAGAACCCAATCACCCAAAGGTAAGGGGAAAAAGAAAGAATGCATTTTCTGGAAAAGGGGACGTTGTGAGCGGGGTGACAAGTGCAACTTTTCGCACAATGGTCCTGCCGGGAAACCTAGACAGGCTACTCCCGCGAGATCCAATTCAAGTGGGAAGAAAGGGGGTAAGAAAACATCTAGGAGTCCAGGCAGGAAGTCATCAAGAAGCCCTGGCAGACAGAAAAGCCCACGAAATTCCAGATCGCCCAAGGGAAATAAGAACGGCTCTAGCAGTGGCAAGGCCACTCCAGCAGCGGTATGTTTGGTTGCATCGATGCTCGCATCCGTGGCCAGTGGTTTTGCAGTCGATCCCATGAAGGTATGCTGTCCCAGCATTGGAATCCGCTTCTCCGATGAGGTTGACGTGCATAGGATTGCAGCCCGTGGGAACATGTGGCCTATTGTAAATGGCGAACCAAAGAACAGAACCACTTATCCATGGGGCCATAAATTTGATGTTGACCAACAGATCGTTGATGATAGTGTGTTGTCTGCAACCATGCTTTCAGGTGCTGTTGAAAATTCTCTGAAGGGAATCACGGCCAAATGCAACTATGAATGTGACACTGAATTTGGTTGTGATTACTGCATTCCGAGAGGCATTGTGGCCGCCCCTGCCGAATCACGGGACATGATTGAAGGTTCGATCGACTTGCAACTCGATTGGATTGCCGACACAGGCAGTGCCCAAGATCTTGTGTCACAAGGGGAATTGCCTGATGATTATGGGTACTACTCATCCAATCCAATACGAATGATGACTGCTAATGGTGAAAGTTCATCCACGAAACAAGGAAAAGTTTTCGTCCCTAGATTGGGCAAGACGGTTGATCCATACCTAGTCAAAAGTACTCCTGCCGTGCTCTCGGTTGGCATGAGATGCATTGACGATGGTTATGATTTGATTTGGAAGGGTTCAAAGGGTGAGGACCCCTATTTCATCAAACCTGATGGAAAATTGGTCCCATTGACCGTGAACGACTAGGTACCCTACCTTGCTGCCAAGCCAGGACATCTCGCCGCTGCACCCGCCAAGAAGGTCGCACGCCGGGAGGCCGTGCCGGTCGCCGACGTGGAACCAGGAAGGGATCCCGGGGAGTTCATCATTGACGTCGAAAGAGACGATTCTCCTCTTGATCTAGATAAGTTTGCAGCCGAGATGGAAGAGTTAGCTTCATCCGATCCCCCGAAGGGAACGCCCAGACCAGATAGTTCAAGACCTGACGTTGTATATGTGGATATTTCGGGCAAGAAGAAAGAAGAAGACAAAGATTCATCTAGTCCTCCGGAAGGAGAGGCCTTTGTTGTGGACTTTTCGTCAAAGCGGAGTCAAGGTGAACAGGCACTTAGGGAAGAAGCAAAATCTAAGAGCCATCTACTTTGTCATTTGCCCAAGAATCCATTTTGCAAGACCTGCCAGCAAGCCAAAATGTTGAAGCCCCCATCCAGAGTGTCCGGGGGGTCCAAACACATCGACGCCGAAAGATTTGCAGAGCACCTTACTGCCGACTTTCTGATCGCCGCTACCGATGAGGAAGCGGGGCTTGATGGAGAACAGGTTGCAATGGTTGTTAAGGATGTGGCCACTGATTTCATGTACATCTATCCCAGTGGTAGGAGAACGGCCAAGGACGCTGTTCTGGCCTTAAAGCACTTTATAGGACATAACGATGAAGTTGGCATTATGTATAGCGACAATGCTCCTGAACTTTTGAGTGCATTAAAGGATCTCAAATGGAGACATGTGCTAAGTAAGGAGTATATATCAAAGTCCAATGCAATTGCCGAACGATCCATCAGATCGGTCCTTGAGGGTGCCAGGGTCAATCTCCACCAAGCAGGGTTGCATCACATGTACTGGCCACATGCTGCACGCCATTGGTGCATGATGCAGAATGTCATGTCTAGAACCGGGTCTGATACTCCCTGGAAGATCCGTTTTGGGGAAAACTTCAAAGGTCCACTGATCCCGTTTGGGTGTCGTATTGACTACTGGAATGGTCCCAGAAAGAGACGGGTGAAGGACGGACTTAAATTCGAAGCTACATCAAGTGAAGGAATCTTCATGGGGTACGCAATTCATCCTGAATTCATGTGGAAAGAGGAATTCTTTGTTGCATCATTGAAACAACTAATTGACAATGCATTCGATGAACCCGCACAAATCATGAGAGTGATTAAGATCAACAGTGTAGATGATATCGTTTTCCCTCTATCCAACTGGCCAGCTCAATTCAAGGGCATTGCATCCGATGATCAAGATGACGAC